AAACAATGTTTCTTGATGAACAATGAGGCATAAGAATGCACACATTTTTTTAAATGTAATGAACCCAGTTGACACCAGATAACAAATGCGATAAAGTATTGGTCAAAGCCATTTCAAGAATTTATCTTTCTTTACCAACTAGGTGCATGAACTCAAATAGCAGGGTTGAACAAAGCAACCAATTAAAAAATATTAGTCAAAAAGAATATACAGGAGAAATATAAACAAAGTTGTAAATAAATTCAGACATAAATGAATTACCAGTTACACCACTGCGAGCATAACCTCCTCTTCTAACATTACGATCAGAAGATGTATTTGATTTCAGTCCTTGACCTGCACTCTCAAAATGTCTTCTTGGCTCCACAGAAACCGTGTGCCCCATACTCTGAAGCTACAAATACACTAAAGGAGTAAAACTTTTGCTTTACAATAAGTTCCCCTTGCAACAATTTAAAATGATTTAACATTAAAAAAGTTACAATAATGTTAATTTCAAAATAAGAACTTAGTGAGTCCTACAACTTTATGACTCTCTCCAAATAATTATACACATGAGAAATCATAAAACGATAACTTTTGCACAATGTGATCATTCAAATGCATTTCCAATTTAGCTAAAATTCAAGTGAAGTCCACTAACAAGCTCAGTTAGGAGCACCAAGAAGTTTCTTGAAGAACTGAAACACACAATGTTGAATTACTCCAGAGTTCATTAATTGATTACCAAGGCCCATCATATCACAATAGATTAATTGGTTGCATTTTTATGGTGAGCCATTGATTCCACAAAACATAAATTCCTTGATAAGAGCATATGCTAGTTACTGAATTTCTGGGGATCATTTTGCCAAGAAGACTCTGAATTTAATAAGTCAAACAAAAACCAGTAGATTAGCGGTACAGTAATTTGTCTCTGTCACTATTGACTGATGACTTGTATTATTCAGGAACCCAAAACCCCAAAAGTATAAAACCACCCATGCATGTCTCGGTAGTCTAAAAAGCTCATTACACCCTTATTTTGAAAAGACTTAAGATCTTCATACAGAACAAGAAACTACTGTCCAGTTGTTCACATGCATGATGTTAAGATATAATATCACGTAAAGCTAAAGGTGGGAAAAGAATGATCCACAAAGAAAATAAACGATAATTCAAAGACAAACCAAAACTTACATTAGAGGATACCTCCTTCCTTTTATCTCTTTTTCTCTTCACTAAATGAAATGGGTCTGGATAAAAAACAAGTGAGAATAATCATAGTAAGAAAACTGCATTAATATATAGTACAAGAAAACTGCAAGCCAAAAAGGTATAACACAATCAACAATGAAAATTTGTGTTGACAGGTTCTAAGAAAATAAAGCAAAACTAATATAATTTCCAATACAGTCTCAAAAGTGTAATGCAAGCATATAAATATGTACATAAATTAAAATAAAGCTAAAGAGAAACTTTTAATGGGAGGACATTCTCAAAAAGCAACATTAGAAGCAACCAAAATTCAAAGTCGTAGTTGACCTATCTATGGGTTTCAGCAAAGCAAAGTACCAACTCCGTGAGAAAATAATCACAACTGAAAGAGATACTAGTATAATGAAGGAATAAACGCCTAGGAGATTGAAAACCACTACTTCTTTCCAAAAAGTTATTAGTTTACCACTCCCAGTCACTAAAATTCAGCCTGAAAACTAAACAGTTCAATGATTAGGCTCATGAAACTGAGCGCAAGATGAAATTTTTAGACCGGCATAACCTCAATAACACAAACATTAGTTCTGCATTCCACAAAACAACTCACAAACTAAATACTTAACTAAAATAACCCAAACCGTTGACAAATTAAACTCGGTAGAAAGCAAAATAAAAGCCTCAGTGAGCACCACAGTAACCTCTCAATAAGGAAAATACCAACCTCAAAAATAATAAAAACAAAAAAAACCCAATACCCAAAACATGGCAAAAAAGCCACGGAGCTACAAAACTATGCATCACAGAGTCAAAGGCAGATACCTTGGTTCAGCAATTTCTGGGTGGTTTCATTAGGATCCATGTCGGTTTCTTTGAGAGCCCAATAAATATCAATATCGGAGTGGTTACGCACTATTTCTTTGATGGATTGAATGGTTTTTCTCACTCCCGCAGAGATTATCTGAGTCCCACCTTCGATTCGCGAACCAGAGACCATCTCTAAACTCTACTTCGTCCCAAATTAAAATTCAAAAAAAAAGGGAAAAATGGAAAAACCCAAATACTATATGATAAATATAAGTTATATAATGCAATATATATATATAGGACGGAATCAAAACCCTAATGTAGCAGAGGGCGGGAGAGAGAAGCCAGGGCTAGGGTTTTGTGAGCATCCGATGGGAAACGGGAGAGACTGAAAGAGAGGGTTTTGAAAACGTTTTACCATTCAAAGACTCCAGGGGCAAAATCCTGAAGTTTTGAGAATTGAAGGAGTTGCCCTTGATGTTTAGGTTAAATTACGGGACAGCCGACAGTACGGCTTGGAATTTAAACCCCAATTTTTCTTCTAAGTTCTCCCACTACACTAGTGGCTGGGTCGTGGTGTTAACTAATATAAAATTTTGCATTAATTAATTCTCTATTATTGTTAGAATAAATTACAAATTTGGTTTGTATAATTTTAGGCATTGTCTCTGTAGTTTTAAATTTGCACATTGTATTTAGCAGTCGGTAAAAAAAGTCTGAATCGTCCAATAGGTTACACCAAAAAGTATAACTTTTGGCAACATAGTTAGTTGACCAGAGCAATGTGCTCGTAACTCAAGTTGTAAAGAACATTTATCCTTGCACGTGAGGTCTTATATTCGATTTTCCTTTCCCCCAATATCTCTTGTATCTATATAGTTATTTAACAATTACTTATGCCACACTCTCATATTTTAGGCTAGGCCTGTTTGGGAGTGCTTTTAAAAGGGTTAAGTGCTTCTAATAATGTTTGACAAACAAATAAAGAAGTGTTTATGGATCATAAAAGCACTTTTCGAATAAGCAGTTGAGAATAACCTCAAGTGTTTTTGGCTTTTTCAAATAGCACTTGGATTTCTTAATTCTATTATAATAAAAACGTTATTCCTAGCGCTTATAGAAACGTTTAGCTTTGGATTAGCTTCAGGGATATATTGACACACAAGCTTTATTATATATATGCATATGGGTGGCACCACAGTGGAAAAATAGGCCAAACACTCCCCCTCCGCCTCCCCTCCCCCCCAAAAAAAAGTGTATCCGGGTTTGATTCACCTAAGAGACAATCTTAGAGCACTTCCACCCATTTGTAATGGCAAAAGGCAAAGGGAGGCAATGGGAGTTACTATTCACGTGAATATTGAATGCCCTATGATGCATTCTCGCCCATTGTCATGATAACCTAATGGCAACCACTATTCACATGAGATATGAAGAGAGGAATTTGTATGAAGTTTTGGTGTGAAAAGTGAATAACATGGCTAGGTATTTATAGAAGAACAAAAATATGAATTTTTTTGTTTTTTGTTTTCCTTTTTTTCAATTTTTTTAATATTTAAATTGGCCGCTAATGTCAACTTACATAGGCAGCAGCCCAGACAAGTTTTGTCTTTGGGTGTGCCCTAGCTTGGTAAGGCCCAGCTCCTCAAACATACAATGATGAGAGTTATATATCTTTTTTAACAAAAATATTTTAAGGTACTTTTAACTTGATGAGAGTTAGAATTAGAATAAATAAATTGAGGTCCATGCAACGAATCGAATTTATGAACCAATTTGGAAGTAAAACAATGTGTGATTATTACTATGTAATAGTCTTATTTTCTTATTTTCAAATTATTTTATTCAATACGTTTAAGGTGATAAGGATATATTCAGTATTTTATATAAGAATGAGTAAAGTTATGTTTATTTGCAAAAATATATTGTTATTGTAATCAATGAGTTTTCTTTTTATCGCATAATAACTTAATTTCCAATGTTGTGAAGAAGAAGAAAAATTATAGTATTTTGGTGTTTCTAGCATTACGCCGTATTTTATTAACTATAGAACCACTGCGAAAGAAAAAAATGCATAGAAAATTTTCTTTTGGACCTCATGCTAAATCCATACACAACACTAAATTCGCCCAATTCACTTAGAAGTGAGGATAAAAGATTTTGAAGTGATGGGACTTTAAAGTGATGAGATTTTAAATGTGAGGAAATGAGATTTTAAAGTGATGGGATTAGTAAAATGGCAAATTATTTTGTTGGTGGTTTTTGTTTTGGTGTTTGCTACATTACTTTTATATCATTCAGAAAACAAGAATCTGGACATATGAATGTTTCTATACTTTTTGGACAATCATTTGATTCTACACAAAATCATGTAATCCTTTAACAAACCTATAGATTATTATTTTATTTTTTAAAAAAAAAAGAAGTCTAAACTATATTTCATATTGGTTATCATTTCTCATTGAATCATGACTTATTTTTAACAAAATACTAACTAGAATAAGAAAAACTTCTCAATGTAACAGTCCGCGACCAAATAACATGAAAACCCACTTTCTTGGAGAAGTTTTTAGTGGCATAGGTTATGCATGGATGGGTCTAAAGATTGTTTATTTTTAAGAGATAAGAAAGCAACTTGTTTTGAGATCTCGTCGAGATAATTTTTTAAATTATAACACATGTATATTTTATTAAAAATATATTCTAAAATATAAAGCGGTCTCACCCATATCATAAGATTTGATTTAGTAACACCATATGGTAGTATTAAGAAGACACATCAAAGTGAATTATTTCTACAGCTAATGAATAGTTGAATAAAAATACCATTATACCCACGACCTACTGTTATAATGCTTATAATATCATAATAACTTAAAATTTTCTTTTGCAAAAAGCGTGGGAAGCTTGGGAGCAAATGGGGCGCTTGAGAAAGTGAACAATGTGTACGTGAAAGATTGTAGTTTCAGTGGGACTACAAATGGAGCTAGAATCAAGACATGGCAGGGCGGATCCGGGTATGCTAGGAACATAACCTTTGAGAAAGATCACACTCGATGCAGCTAAAAATCCTATCATCATTGACCAGTTTTATTGTGACCGTGATCACAACTGCAAAAGTCAGGCTTCGGCTCTGTCGGTGGATTATGTGAAGTACATTGATTTTGAAGGAACTTCTGCGAGTGAGGAGGCGATCAAGTTGGATTGTGACCAGAATTCAGGTTGCCACAACATTATAATGGACCGCATCAAAATCACTTCTGCAGTTCCTGGCAAGAAGATTTATGCCTCCTGCAGTAATGCTATTGGAACTTCCCTTCGCACTACTGTGCCCAATGTACCTTGCCTCAAGTCAGGGGACAAACCAACTACTTCTCTGCCAGCTCCGCTACGCCTCTGCCATCTCCACCTTTGCTCGTTATTCCTCAGCCATCTCCGCCTGTGCCGGCTACACCTCCAATAGCTCTGATTTTGCCACCTCCGCCAACTCTTCCCTTGCCAGATATGCCTCCACCAGCTCCGCCCTCCTCCGCCATCTCTGCCTCTGCCTTTGCCATCTCCTCCCCTACTGGCTTCGCCTCCACAATCTCCGCCCTTGCCGGCTATGCCTCCGCCATCTCCACCTCTCTCTCCGCCATCCGCCACTGCTCTCTCTCTCTCTCTAATTTCTAATGGCGCTCCGCCACTGCTCGCATGGTACCACACCCAGAGCCCCCGCCATTTCTTTCAGGCTATTTCTCTTTCTTTTCCGTTTCTTCTCTCCGCCTTGGTTTGGGTCCATGGCAGCAACGAAATTCGAAATTTCTGACTGGAGGGGAAATCAAGAAAGAAAAGAATGAATGAATTTATATGAACAGACGGACAGCTGTTGCTGTGTGATTGGTCTATTGCTAGACCAGGGTCGTCACATCTCGCGTTTTTTTTTTTTTTTTTTTTTTTTTTTGGCCAAGAATGATATTTTAGTTTTTTGGGAGATTTGGGATTATGTGGAATTTGAGAGTCCCATATGGTCAGAGTAACATGTTTGGCAAATTTTAAAACAGAATTTGAGAAATTCCAAGGAACTTTAAAGACTACTATGGTTTTGTCGCATGTAGTTTTCTCCGAAAAGATTTTAACGAGGTCACAGTTTACATGTCGACGTTATGTTGTTATCCTTCCTATTGATTGACTTAAATCCATCGCTTGGGAGGCGAAAGTCCCATGACTAATGTTTATTTATTTATTTGGCCTAAAATCAATTTATTTATCTACATTTTTTTGGAAGTATAAACCCATCAATTTATGATGCTTAGAGGGTGTTAAAGGAAGAAACTTCATTTTGCATTTAGGAGGGGGGAAGTGAAAGACAACTCTTCAAGAAAGCCACACACTAATTTCAAGCAAATGTAATAGCCTGTTGATAGGAGCACAAAACATGAAAACTTTTTACCAACCAAGATCATTGCATTTCAGATTAAGAAACTGAGAGCAGTTTACATTTTGAGTAAAATGAAAAGTATATGTCCAATATAGATCAAATTTCATTCTTGTAAACATTTCACATTATCCCCATTTTATGCACCCATTTACCAAATTCCCATGAAACCAACAACATTATCCACCCGAAATTGAAAAAAGAAATTCCAGAATTCACAGAGATATATTTAACCTAAGTTAATAACTGGCCCACAGTCGATAAATGAAAGCTTTGTTGAGGAGATTGAGCCTAAGAACATACAGCTGTTTAATGTAATTTTCAAGAGGAAATGCAATTTCCATGAGCCACCACCATCTGAAAGATGTGCTAACTTCCAAGTCATAAGTACTGCTCTTGAATCCTTGCCCTATTCTCTTCCCACCACAATCTCGCATGCATTTCGCCAAACTTTTCCCGGCTGCGAAGCAAAGGACACAGAAAATAAGTTTCATATTCAAGCCAATTTGACCAGTGCAAAAGATAAATTGGTATACTTGAAAAGCCTCACTTCATTGTGGAATTAAGGTCCAGCTTTGCAAGTCAAACAAAAAATTAACAGTAAAAGAACAGGAAGGCTTTGGTTTGCATGTGATACCATCCATAGGGAAATAGTGTCACAATCCACACTTCACCGGAATGTTAAAAAGAAAAATACCAAATGTACTGACCCGGTCTCTGTTCTCACTATTTCAGACAGCAGTGGAGAACAAAACAATCACTAATGCCACAAGCAAGGCAGTACAAAATAAAACTTAGCAATAATCAACTCAAAACTTAACTATTCACAATATAGAAACCTAGTTACCTGAATCGGACACGTCTAAGCTCCCTAGTGCCACCTGGCAATGCTCTTATAGTGATGTACACTCCTGGTTCGTCCTGTTCAACCCACTCAGTCTCCGTATCACTAGCGTTGCTAACTGAAAGCTCTCCTGAGCGATCTACCTCTGAACTAGTCCTTACAGAACCATCTATTGATGATGATTCATTCACCCCACTGATGCTGGAAAGTTTAGGTGTTGAAGCTAGACCACTGGTGTCACAGTAAGGACGGGATTGCATTGGATGGTGGTCAAGTGAATCGGATGAAGAGTACCCCATTCCCATTGGTCTGTGGAAGTTCCGCGGCAAGCGCTCTTTGCTCAGTGGAGGAGTCGCAGGACTGTCCCTAGCAGATTCAACCTTTGAGCTCTGGAAGAGGGGGAAGAAAAAAATTACTTTTAAACATTAGAAATGTACATCATCAACGCTAGAATGTGATTCCAATCATACAAAATTGATCACCAAAGTTGATGTTGTTAAGATAGCGAAGTAATTCATGAATCAAAGTAACTTAGTGAGAAGGAAAGGGATGGAGGTAGCCAACATATTATAACTAAATTGATCTGAAATACAACAGATAACAAAATGTTCCATATTACAACCTTGGCTGGTGATAAAAAGTGTCTTAACCTCATGCCCAAATTACGACAGATGTTCTCTGGTTGATCCTTCTAGAATCAATAATGAATACTTGATAAATAAAAATTATTTGACTTTACTTACCTTAGGTTACCAACAACAAGAAAATATTTGCATAATTACATTGGGGATGAGCTCACCTCGTCTTCAGATCTAGGTGGAGTTGGAAGTGGGACTGCTTGGTGATTGAACCTTTGGACATTGTACAGTTCCATGATCTTGTCATAATTTTCTGCCCACCACCTTTGAGCTTGCCATTTGTTAAACATTTCCCGACTGATCAAATTTACAAGACAGTGATTAGTAGATTTAGAATATTCACAACATGGTCAACAAGTAGGGCATATATGACAGGGTGAATAAGAGTTCACTCAAGCAAACAAAACTTTGGGATAAGCACCAAATCCTGCTGATTATGACTGCGGAACAAGACTGATAAATATGTCAACATATAATTAGATGACACTGATTCAAGACTGGGACTATTCTTTTGCTGATTTAGAACTCTTACTTGTGACCTAACAAACAGTTAATAGTATATCTGTACAGGACATAAGTTCACATAACGTGGAGCTACTGTACGTCTGTATTTCTTTAAAAAGACGAGATATTCATATGAGTTGCTTTTAACCACTTTGTAATCACGTAGCAAAACTTAATGGAAATGAAACAAAGCTATAGAGATGTAGGCCTCCCCCATATTTAAGACCCATACAAAGTGTGTTACAATTGTAAAGTCTCATCACTGAAGTCTTTCTCTCCTTGACACCACATCCAACACTCGAGTTAGCACGGATTGATCCCATAGAATGGATTAATATACGCTGGTATTAGGTTTGGCGTGATGTTAAGTCATTGAATACTGGTAGATGAGTAAAGCTCCCCATGAAAGGAGAGAGTACCACCAGATAAGTATCAATAGGGTGGGCTAATGATGAGCACGTCAGGTCTTGGGAATATGGTAGAATGTTAAGATCCTAAAAACAAAATAAAACTCTTTGACAGCTCAAGTCTTTGAAGAGTATCAGCTGGTTCTTATTCTAGGGCCACCTACCACACAAATGAGTGTGAGAAATGACAGTTCACATGCAACTTACCTGCTACAATCCCACACTCTCATTATATTGTTAAAAGTCCAACTACAAAGGACAATGTGACGATAGACCAACCCCAATCAACATTCCCATACTAGAAACAAGTAGTCACATTCAAAGAATCAGAAGCTATACTTCCAGATCAAGAACAAACAGAAAAAGATCAAAACACAAAGGACAAAAAGATACAGTGGTTCCAACGGCAGCACCATAGCAAAAGCATGTGGTCACACTCCACCAAAATCAGAATCTTCACCATCATATCAACTCCAAACAAGAGAAAGTACCTGAACCGAATACGCTTGAGATCATTTCCTCCTTGGGGCAAAGAAACAAAAGTGATGATCACACCAGGCTCCACTTGTGCCACCCATTCTTTAGGCTCATCTTCCTCCATTAAAACAATAGACTCCGTCCGTCCACTCACTGACGCGGGCGTCGCTTCCCCGCTGGATAGGGCTTTAAGTCTACTGTCCATCTCCTTCCCCCATAGCCTGGGTGTCGAATTCGAGCTCCCCATTGTTCTCCGGTACGAGTAGTGGAACCTCGCGGACTCCGAGTTGGCATCGGATTCAGCATAGTTCCGGTTCCGGTTGTCATTGCAGGACCGTGAACATGGCTTGCAGTTTTTGTAGGCTCCTGAGGCCTTCAATGCCATGTCCTTGATCTGAAAAAAGATTTCTAGTTCTTAGAAAATGCAGGAAAAATAAAATCTGGGTCTTATTTATTCCATTGTTTTGTTCACAAGACTGTGAAGTTTCAGCTGAATTAAATCTTTTACACTCCCACTGTTTTATTTACAAAGATTGAGAACAAAACAGAAACCTTACTCTCTGTTTGGTTCCTGAGAAAATGAAGGGAGAATTAGAGAAAAAAACAGGTTCTGAGTCTTTCTTACCTCATCACCCAAATGTCAATTAGGCTCAACAAAGCAAACATTGAATTCCTTTTTTTTTCTCTCTACATTTTCTGTGAAAGCAAACAGAAGTTTAAAAACTTATGAGTTACAAGATTACCTGAGCAGTGAGAGCTTTGATGGCTTGCTTGGTTCTAGGAGTCCCAGCCACGGCATCGTCTTCGTCTTGTTGGCGGTGGAGAGATCCATTGTTGAGCTGCTTGGAGCAGGGTATACAAGTAAGCATCTCCGATTCCCAATCGAAAAATAAATAAATAGAACAAGAATTTGGATCAGATAGCCTCTGCCAAGTGCCAAGCTAGCCCCACTGAACAATCACAGCCAAACCCAATAAGCAACAAGCTGAAGATCTCGTTCTTCAGTGAATTCAATCCCACAGAACCTCCACATGGAAAAATGGCAATAGCTTATGGGCTCTGGTTGGTACACTGAACAGAGAGAGAGAGAGAGAGAGAGAGAGAGAGAGAGAGGAGAGGTTGAGGAGGTGACCGTTAATGAAGGAAAGAGGCCAAGGAAGGGTGTGTGTGATAGTGACGATTTGCAAGGGTGTGTTTTGTTTTGGATCCGAATGACTTGTAAAGTTTATACCTATTACCTACAAAACAAAACCCCATTCCCTTTCATTTTTGGTTCTTTTCGTTAAAACTAAGGCAAAAAGTCATTTTCATCTATGCATCACTTTAGTCCCCCTAGTTTTAATTTTCTAGATTTTATCTATATAATTTTAAATTTGAGCAATTTGAGAACGCTTTAAAAAATTTCTTAAAATCCTTCTAATTTTGTTGTTCTGTCAAATCTCATGCTAAAAACGAAACATAATTGGATTGAATTTGACCGAATTTGTACCATGTTTCTAGATTACTCGAACTTAAAAATGTATAATAAAATTGAAACTATGATGTCTAAAATGGTAAAATTGGCAAACTATGATTTGTTGCTATAAAACAAATATTAAAATTTTATTTTAAAAAAAAAAGAGAATGAGTATCTGTCACTCTCTTTCTTTCTGTTTGCTTGATACTTGGGGGGTGTCTTGGGTACATTGAGATTTGGGCAAAGGCAAATTGCAAAACTGGTGGTGAGGGCTTAAGCAGCAATAATAACAATAATATAAAAAATAATAACAATAATAGAATGAAAATTATTAATATTATTATTATAGTAATTAATGTGGCCTGGCTGGCCGTGTGGGTGTGGGCGTGGGCCATTGTGTGTGTCTGCGTCATGCGTGCGCCCCAGCGCCACCCTAAACGAGCGAAAAAGGTGGAAACCAGACGCTAGCGCTCTGACCCTCTCTCTCACATGCCCATGTCCACGAGTTTTATCACTTTCGCTACATTTCCTACTCATCTTTTTTGGGACACTGTCTTTATATATATATAAAATACAAATGATAGTCTAATACACACTATCAAACATTTAAGAGGATGTTAACCATTAGATTGATCTAATGAATTTTAACAAGTCCACATCAGCATCTCTTTACACCTTATGTGTATCTAATACCTTTGAAATAAAATATTAAAAATACAAAATAATAGTCTCAGCCCCCAACCAGTTGCTGCTATTCATGGCCACCACCTCTCTCTGCGCCATCCATAGTCCTATGGTAATATTTAACATGGAATTATTGTCTCAACAACAAGCAAATGCTTCAAAATTAAACAGCAACTGAAAATCCTAGAGGTGCCTACCAACTATAGGACCTTTTGAAGGTGTGTGTGAGAAAGAAGAAAAGAGAGTGAGAGGCAGCGGCAATTGGCGGGCAGTATAGGGCCTGGGTTGGGGAGGAAGGTGGTTGATGTTTGATGGGAGTTTTTAATTTTTAATTTTAAAGATATACATATAATAAAGTGCGAATGGTGAGTTTTGGTATAATACAATTATGATGATGTGGATTTATTGAAATTCATTAGATCAATCTAATGGTTAACATCCCTTTAAATGCCTGTAAATGTACGAATGCTAAATGTAGAGGCTCGGAATCCATCAAAATGCCATATAAATTCGAATATGAGATCACTAATTAAGAGCCCGTTTGATAACTATTTCAATTTTAGTTTTTAGTTTTCATTTTTTGTGCTAAAGTATAGAGGAAAATGAGAGTGAAAATAGGAGTGAGGATTTTTTGGTCATAAGAATAGGAGTGAGGATGAGATTGAGACAGAGAATGAAAGGGAAGGATAAGAGGGAGGAGTAATAAAAGTGAAAATAAAATCTTGAAAGGGAAAAAAATTTGAAATAGATTTCTGTTTTTAGTTTTTGTTTTCACTTTTGTTATTCCTCCCTCCCATCATCTCCTCTCATTTTCCCTCTCAATATCATCTCCACCCTCATTCTCACTCTTTTTCCTCTATACTATAGCACAAAAATTAAAATGGTTATCAAACGGGCCCTAATTTAATGCCCTTTTTTTCATTGAGTTAGAACCTATTGATAGAGGGAGACATTATTATTAGACCTTTTCAATTCTTGGTGTATGTGAGGTTTGTATGCAATTTACGTGAGAGCATTCATTTGAAAAGTTAATGCTCGTGAGCTATATAACTCGCAAATATCTAGCAATTATGACAAGAATAAATTGACATGAGATGGGATGACATGGAATGTTTTGCAACAGTGGATTGATTTGTAAAGAAACAGTTACTCATTTAGACCGTGTAATTTGTAAAGGTATTGTATGGTTGGGTGTGGTGCGGTTCGGGTTGGGTTCGGGTCCAAACTGCTAAACACATAGTTGGTCTTAAGTTTATTGACATTAAAGCTATAATCGAGTTTTCTTAACAACAAAAAACCGTAATCGAGCACACCATTGTTCGATTAGTTTGTCATTTTGCTAACAATTAAATGACTAAACAATTTTCAATTTACACGTATGATTTTAAAATAGGGCATCAAAACACACAGTAGGATGTCAAAAGTGATATTGTTTAGTACATAGAGATCAATTCTTTTCTTGCCAACAAAAATTGGTGTCTTCTTGAAAAAAGCAGATGATCAAAAGGAAGTGCTTAACGACCAAAGTTCAACGAAAGCAAATTTGATTCTGTGTTTGGTCAAATAGTGAGCACGCTTGTGGAAAAGCAGTACGGATAGAAAATCCATGCTATAATTTTGCAAGATTCAGTCTCACAACTCGCAAATTACAACCACAAAGTCACGTGAGCCTAACACTTTCTTAATCAACAAGTTTACATTAATTTATTTAGAGAAAGAAAAGAAAAGAAAAGGTTCAAGTTTACCTTAATCACATGTTGGGAGGAGCCCATTGGTCCTGTCTACCTGTACTCTTAACGCTTAAGCTAATTTAGAAAATTTTATAAAAAGCCTAAGCTAATTTAATACTTCTCTATTAAGGTGAATATATGACGTAACGTTAAAAAGAAAAATTCAGACAAAAAAAGCTTGCTCGAGCCTCATATGGTGGATAAAATTTTGAATAGAAGCTTTCTAATCACATGACAAGATGAGTGACATGTGCTGTCTAGTTTTACATAAGCTACATTACATGTTTTATCGTAATTTAGATTTTGTAACACGTGTTATGTTTCTATGTCACTCATCTCGACATACGTGGTGTACATAAACAAAAATCATTCATGGTCTTCATTAATTAGGCCACATGCAGGATGAAGCAATGCTGGGAAGTTATGATGTTGTGTAGGAGCACCCCCAAAACGACATGCATGTTCCCTTGTTGCCCTTTTAATGATTCACATCTCAATTATGTGTGCTCCCAATATCATGCATGCTCTCATAACTTTAACCTTCAACAAGTATTAACTGAAGGACAAATTTCCGACATGCATACCATGCCATCCAATCCAAATAGGACTTCCCATTTCCGAGAAGCATTCAACCATACAAATTCTAAACTCCATTTGGGAAATTGTATCTTTTTTAATATTTTTTTAAAAAATAAAAGAACATTGTATTGCTAAGATTATCAAAAACAAATACAAAGAAACTAAAGTACTGACTATATATATAACTTATCCAATGATCAAACGCAACAACAAGCTGAATTGATATGGAGAGAATATCAAAGCAATTATATCAACAGTCCATGAACTATTATCCGAGTCTTACTTTTAATCCATGAATTGGTTTTTTGAACTCTATATTTCTCAAACTTTTTCTTGTATTTCACTTTCGTCATTGCCATCAATTCTGTTATTCTTTTTGTTAAAATCGATCTCGTGTATTAGTTATTAAATGTAATCCGAATAATATTATTATATACATACCCATAAGTTTATGTACCCCAAATGAAATGATTCGTAACATGCAAATTTGTGGAGTTGAAGTCTAGAAGCCTATGGCATTGAGTGGAGAGAAAGCTCCATTATTGTGTTGTGCTTTTCTTTAGGGTGACAACAAACCAACTGTGTTCCTCTTCCGATGTGGAAAGTCCCTATTGTTCCTTCACAAAAGAGGCTAGACTCGGAGTATAATATGATGCAGGGTAAAGTAGTTTTCCAACTAAGCCTATTGTAGAGTACCTTTCTGTCTCCTTGTAACCCAAGTTTTGGATTGTTTGTGGTGGGAGATAGATATGTATATTTATATGTATTTTATGCAGGCCTAACAACTTTATGTGTTTGTGCTTTGTGGGCAACACTTTGTATATTTAAATGGAAGCAATATTGCAGGATCAAATATATATGCTTTTCTTGCATTGTGTGGGAGTGAGATCATAAAACACAATGCAAAGTGGTAGTACAAAACCAGTCCTAAAAAGCACAAACAACAAGTGAACTTTTTGCTTTTTGCATTCACAAAACTTATATTTTGATGTAAGGAGCATGTAGTTCAAGTGGTTAAAGAGCATTTACCTTTGCACTCATCCCCATCCGAAATCCTGGTTTCGATTTCCCCCTATCCTAATATCACTTGTATTAAAAAGTAAATTAAAAAAACCCTTGCATTTTTATTTTATTTTTTTAACCAAAAAACAGTCTATCAGGGCTTTGTATTAATTTGGGACAAGATATAGCAGCCCAAAAGAAAGAAAGTGGATTTAATTAGTGCCTTCAATCAATGGATGATTTAATTAGAAAATGTGATGTACAGTGTGGTCCAGAAATGTGTTCTATGGATCAATTGGGTTAGGGCTTTTCATAGTTGGTGAGAATTTTTATTTTGGGTTGGAATTTGGGAGGCCTTTGTGCTGGGTTGAGCACATCTCTTTGGACAATGAAACTGGATTGGATCCTCCTGGCCTAT